GTTGCATACGCGTCCCGTCAACTAAAAAAACACGAAAAGAATTACCTTACCCACAACCTGGATTTGGGCGTTGCAGTGTTTTTGCGCTAAAAATTTAGCAACACTATCTGTATGGAGAGAAACTAAAATTTTTACCGACCACAAGAGTTTAAAATATTTCTTCACCTAGATAGAGTTAAATATGAGGCAGAAAAGGTGGCTAGAATTGGTGAAGGACTATGCTGTAGATATCAGTCCCACCTTGGAAAAGCAAACATGGTCGCCGACGCATTGAATAGAAAGACAATCCACTTGTTGGCCCACTGTCGACCCTCATTACGAGGAAAGTAAAGGTACAAAGAGAATTCGAGCAAGCCAACATAGTTGTAGCGACAGAGAGAGTCATAGCACAGCTAGCCTGACTCGCAGTGCAACCTACAGTTAGACAGAGAATTATTACCTCCCAACAACAGGATTCTAACCTACATAAAGTCCTAGGCCAGCTAGACGAAAGTCCAGTAGACAAATTCTCAAAGTCTTCATATAAAGGACTATTATATTAGGGATGCCTACGTGTCTCGGAAATAGAGGAGTTAAGGAAAGTGATACTAACGGAAGCTCACAACTTGCCATTTTCCATGCACCAAGGAGGTACTCAAATGTACCAAGATTTAAAATAACATTTCTGGTGGAAGAGCATAAAGAAAGACATGGCCGAGTTTATGAGCAACTGCTAAGTTTGTCAACAAGTGAAAGCTCCTAGACAAAAGACAGCGGGGATGTCACAGCCACTAAGTATACCGGAGTGGAAGTGGGAAAACGTAGCAATGGACTTCATAGTAGGATTACCCAAAATGCTTAAAGGTTATACAGTGATTTGGGTAATTGTCCATAGGTTGCCCAAGTCGCACACTTCTTACTAGGCGCAACTGTATGCATAAGAAATAGTAAGACTACATGGAGTTCTAGTGTCTATAGTGTTGGATCGAGATCCATGCTTTACGTTAGCATTTTGGCGCGGACTTCAAAAAGCGTTGGGTACTCAGCTCGACTTTGGCACCGCCTTCCATCCCCAAACAAATGGACAAACGGGGCCCTAAACCAAATCTTAGAGGACACGTTACGCGCTTGCGTATTAAACTTTAAGGGAAGTTGTACTTTCAAGCCACTATTGGAATGACACCGTTCGAGGCCCTGTATGGGAAACGGTGCAAATCCCCACTATGTTGGGACGAGATAGGTGAGAGAGAGCTAGTAGGACCCGAGTTGGTCCTAGCCGCCAATGAGACTATCCAGAAAATTTAAGTGAAGATGCGTACCGCTCAAAGTAGAAAAAAAAAAAAGTTAAGCCAATGTAAGACGTAGAAACTTAGAGTTTGAGGTAGGGGACCTAGTATGCATAAAGGTGGCACCCACGAGAGACGTCTTGAGGTTCGGATGTAAGGGCAAGTAAGTCCTAGATGCATTGTACCTGTTGAAATTCTCGAGCAAATTGGTCCATAGCGTATAAGTTAGCCCTACCTCCCTCCCTCTCTAAAGTACATGAGGTAGTTCACTTGTAAATGTTGAGTAAATACATGACAGGTTCTATACACATAATAGACTACGAGCCCCCCCAAATCAACGAATATTTAAGTTACGAGAAAAAACCAATCGAATTTTAACATGAGAAGTGAAAGTGCTACGCAACAGGTGCATTGCATTCGTTAAAGTGCTATGGTGAAACCACCATACCGAGGAGGTAACGTGGGAGCGTGATGAAATAAGAGAGTGTCACGACCCGATTTTCGAGGCTTCGAAAAACCGAATCGTAACTAACAAGACGAAATTGAAAACAAACAAAAAGAAAATAAAAGAAAAGAAAAGAAAAGTAAAAAGATAAAAATACCATTGAATTAAAACAAAAGAGAGAGAAGTTTTGTTTCGAAATTAATACAAAAGAAATTGCAAATATAAAATGAAATACAAAAGACTCTAAAGAACCGAAAAGGGACTGACGCTCCGGAACGACCCTTTCTGTGACCGCACAGCTCTCGAACGCTCATCCACCTAGACCGGCACCTGACAAAAGCAGGTAGAAAGGAATGAGTATTAAAATTATACTCAGTAAGCCACCTACTTGTAGGCTCTCTTCGCATCTTAATTTAAGAGGTTCCCATTGTTTCCTAATTCGCTTCTAGGACACTTGGTTCTAATCTTAGTCCCTTGGAGCTTGCCCCTTGGGTTTCACCGATTCATCGTCTTTCATGAAACGCCTAGAGGTTCCTTACGCCAAGCTACTATGACCGGTATCTCTCTATGAGGTGCTACTTCTACAAGGCTATCTGGGACTACATGGTATCTAGCCTAGGGGTGTGCTGAATACCCCTACGCCCACATAGTCCTCCTATGGGGGGCGCGACCCAACCCGTTCCCATGCAGCTAATGGGTTGTACGATGTGGGGACACATTTCCCATGCAAAATGGCTAAGAGTAGGAAGGACTGATCAGGGACCCTTGGTCCTCCCACGAAACTATAGATACCGTTCTCATGCTAGCAATCTATGAATACTCCTGAGTTACCTTGTAGCCGTGGTAAACCGCTAAGTTCCTAGAGGAAAATCAAGTCTGGCTAGAGCGACATATCACTCCTAACAGTAATCCCTTAACTTATCATAGAAATGGGCCCTAGCAATTAACAGAGTGTGCATGCAACCGTCTTCTAACATCATAATATATAATTCATGCAAACTAGGCACGCTGGCTCAACGGGGCGATGGCCTCCATCCAGCACCCAGAACACGAAGTTCGCACTCAATGGGGCAAATTCATCCATCGAGCACCCGGAACACGGAATACACAATTCCAACATAAATTAAACACATGCATACGTACAACGGAAGCTTAAAGCATATATGCAACACTCAGATAATTCACCCAACACATCATAACAATCCACATGACTAATCTCATTCATGGAGAGCTAATTTAAGGAAAAATTACTAACATGCATACATACAATCCAAGCGAACCCTACAAGTATTTCTTCCTAAATACCGGGTGGTGATTTACCCAGTTGATGCGTGCTCTTTTGCTAGCGTTTCTTTACCCGTGAGGTGTCCAAAAATAGTGATTTCTTTACATTAGGTCCCTATTCAAGTAAAAATAGTATTAGAACTCGATATGGGACAAAAATCAGGCAAATAGAAGGAAAACGAGCCAAAACAGCTGTTTCACGCGCCAGCAATGCATTGGCCACGCACGTGGACATGTGCCAATCGCAGGCCGAACGCGCGCCTACCACACGCGGTAGCCCTGCGCAGTCGCGGGTCGGTCGGTCCGGTTCGACTCGGCACGCGTTTGCGGTTCGTCTCAGGTTGTTTTTTTTCTTTTTCTTTTTTGCAATATGATTGTGACTCGAGTAAGTCATCGAGGACGATGACTAAGTTAAGTGGAGGAGAATGTCACAACCATAGTATGAAGAGAGTAGGTTGTGACCCTCACGCCATGACAAGTAAAGGGGCGTCCCTCAAGAGACGCCCCATCCGGCCATATGCAGGCCAACATAGAAGAATGCCATGATGCGATCGAGGAGGACGATGCATCATCCAATACACCACCACGCAAAGTGGGTATTGAAGATATATGTTGAGACATAAGCATAACAGAGACATCAGCATAGACATGAAGGACAAGATAGGCTTGTTGAAGGGCTAGGTAGGGCCCCGGGCCTTAACCTCAAAAGTTGGGGTTTTGGAAGGAATTTGAGCATGCGGTTTGGGAGTTAAGTCCGTCCATATGAAATATGAATGCTCGCCAAGTTTGGTGTCAATCGAACATTGGACGGACAATGCACGACACCGTATGACACCTCACCAAAATCATGTCTACACCTGGTAGAATGAAAATGGCTCAAAATGTACTATAGGGGTACCATGGTGTTAGCTCTCCACCACCCCTGGGCCCTGTGGCCTAAGTGAGCTACCCTGTGGCACATACGTGTGTCACAGTGTGGGCGAGCGTGTCGAGACGAGTGTCTCGGGCGACTTCCTTTGAAATGGGTTTTTGAAGGACAGTACCGGACGGCACGAGTGTGCCAGTATTGCGCCCTAGCCCGCGTGTTGGAGGTTGCTACATACACCCGCTTTCAGGGACGGTATCCGTAAATGACTCGACATGGGCAGGGGAGGGCCTATGCCTCGATAGAACCCAGATGGATGGATGTTCGGGAAGTCCCGATGAGATGAACGACACGCGGGCCCATTCTCGATGGCATGACCGAATGAGTTATGATGGCCGATGACATCCCGAGACTCGGGATGGCGCCAAGACATATGAACCCTATCGATGGGGATCGAGATGACAAGATGAGATGCGACATTATATTGAGAGACCTTGGCTCGAGTAGAGGTAAGGTCGAGCCGAATGAGTTGGTCTAGCGTAGAGGCAAGTCGGATGTGTCGCAAATGATTGAACATAGACGCACAGGCGACGTATGTGGTTGAACAAGCTTGGATTCCGCACAAGCGATGTTCGATTGGCGAAGACAAACCTCGCCTAAGGTCCGACGAAGCCACAAAGCCGGGGCGAAAAATTGGGGCTTAATTCCCCTTAAGGCTAGTCGTGAGCGTGTATAGATCACGACGCCGCACGGTCAAGAAGGTAAGACCGTGACACCTACCACGCACGGTAGCTCTGCGCAGTCGCGGGTCGGCCGGTCCCATTCGGCTCGGCACGCGTTTGCGGTTCGTCTCAGGTTGTTTTTTTCTTTTTCTTTTTTGCAGGCGATACGTGTCGTCCCCTCGCTGGAGCAATTGCTCCAGCCGAAGGTCAACACGTGTCCGGCGCCTGTCCCGCCGCCCACGGTCGCTCGCCGGCCGACCCTTTTTCTTCTTTTTTTTTTTTCTATCTTCTGTAATCCGTAACACAGCGTCCACTTTCCGATTTTCATATCTTTTGATTCGTAGTTCGAATAGATATGATTTCCTCGACAAAGTTCTAAATCGTGTTACAAGCTACGTCCTAGTATTTTCTTTCTAATTTTTCGCTTGACTACTGGACGAGTTAAGAGCGTCGAAAGTTCGCTCACCGTTCTCGGACGATTCTCGGATCTCCACCTTCGGGTTAAGATCTCGGCCAAACTTCTTCTCAGATGGTGCGTAGAATTGTTCCTGGATGAATATATCAAGATTTCAGATCTTGATTCACAAAGGAAAACAGTAGATCTGAGAAAACGTTCAAGATCTTACCTTGCGGGTTTTTCGATTTCTTGATGAAAAATGGGACTCCGGCCACCCACATTCTCTTTTCCCTTCCAAAAAAGGTTCCTTGCATCATGATCTTGACCGGAATAGACTCGACGGAAATTTTCTGTGAGTCTTCCGACGGTTCATTCTTTCTCCTCTCTCTAGGTTCTCTCTACCCCTTTCTCTCACTATTTCTCTCTCGCACGACTCTGTATAGGTTTCATTTGGACCCCTCTAATGGTTGGAGGGGCAAACTTACCTATTTCCCTCTCCCTCTCGACTTTTCCTATTTTTTTTTCTTCTTCTATTTCTCTTTCTTCAGGTATTACAGAGAGAAATACCCGAGTTAATTTTCTTTTATAGGGATATAAGGTAAAAAACCTAAAAATAGAATAAATAAATAAATAATACTGTCTCTCCACCCATCTTACACAACTGCTTCCCCACGTATCTCTTCTAAACCTCTCCTACAACTGTGAGACAATTTTGCTAAAAAATATAGAAAACAAAAAAGGGTAAATACAAAAAAAAAAAAAATGTTAACCAAATAAAAAGAAAAAACAGAGGAAACACAAATGGAGCAAGGGAGAGTGGGAGATATGAAATTTTGTTTTTATCCTAATTGAAGAATCAATTTAAAATTGGCAAAGATAATTATGAACATAATGAAAGAAAGAAAAAATGGGAGATATGAAATTCTTTCTTTTATTGATTAAGAATAGATTCAAACTAACCAAAATAATTGTAAACCTAACCAAGCAAAACCAGGGGAAGAAAGATGGTGTCCCAAAAAAGTAAAAGAGAGGGAGTGACAGCAACAAAGTAAAACATAGGGAAAGAAACAGGGTGTACGTAGAGAATATTTTATTAAAACAAACCATACTTGGATTAAATGATGAAGCAGCATGAAATAATATTGACATATTTTTAATTTAAGTTTTACTACCAAAGACAATTTAGAAACAATGAAAACGTGGAATTCGATTTTTATTCAAGCAGTTAAGTTTAAGCAAATGGTGGAATTCGATTTTTATTCAAGCAATTAAGTTTAAGTTCAAAATAGGTGAAGCCTCAATACAAGTGAGAACGAATTCGAAGAATGAAAGCAATCATATCTAGAGTTAGAAAGAAATTCGACTGAAGCCAACCAAGTAAGTGGCCTTACTATAGGATAGGCTAAAATTGTATGAGTTACGATGATGTATGAACTGTGTCGTACAATGTCATATGTTAGTATATGATGATGTATGAGTTGTATCATATGATGTCGTATGTTAGTATATGACTGATGTATGAATTATGATGATGTATGAGCTGTATCGTATGATGTCGTATGTTAGTATATGAGATGTGTGAGTTATGATACCTGATGATGTGCGTTGTGTATATATATTTCGATAAATGACGTACTTGAGATGTTTGATGCACTCTATGGCAATATGACGAGTATGATGATTGCGTGACGTTTACCTTAATATGATGATGTTTTCCTAGAACATTTTTTGTGTTTACCTTAATATGATGATGTTTTCCTGGAACATTCTTTGCGTGTAACATGCTTCAAAGGATTTATGCAAGGTGTCGATTCTTTCTTTTTGCTACACCATTTTTTTGTGGTGTGTTGGCACATGTAAACTAACGACGTATCCCATACTCATGTAAAGATTGATCAAACTCATCTAACGAGTATTCTCCGCCATTGTCCGAACGTAAGCAACAAATCTTCACTCCTACTTCTTCTTCGATCCTCATCTTGAATTCTTGAAATTTTGAAAATGTGCCAAAGAATTTTCTTTCATAAAGAAAATCCACACATATCTTGAGTAGTAGTCAATGAACATCACCGTATACCGATTCCACTAATCGATGCTTGTTTTCCTGGACCGAACAAATCAAAGTGAATTAACTCTAATGGTTTCTTTACTTTGAAATTTGACTCTTTGTATGGTAACTGATGAGCTTTACCATATTGACATCCTGTGTAAACAACGTCTGTTTTGACTTCAAGTTGAGGTAGGCCTTTGAGCATGGATTTCTCCATAATCAATTTCAACTTGTGGTAGCCAACATGTCCCAATTTTGCATGCGATAGAGATGTTATCTCATTCTTTCAGGTCTTGTCAACATAGGCAGCCTTTGTAGATAGGACGTAAACGGACTCCACTCTTCGCCTTTCTATTGTCGGCTTTCCTATTATCTTAACATCTTCATAGACTTTCTCATCTTCTAGCCCAAACAAGACGTAGTTTCTTGATGTTGTTAGTTGTGACACTGACAACAAATTCACTTTATACCTGGCACATGATAAACATTATGTAGTGACATTGTATCAGATTTATTGTCAGACATGATTGTCGTATTGCCGATATGAGCAATTGACAACTGTGTGTTATTTTTTGTGTGTACCATACGACTTCCTTTGTACTCTTTCTTGTCTTGCAATTTTCTCTGATCGTCAGTCATATGGTTTGAGCATCCTGAATCAACGATCCAGTCATTCATGTAATCGATATGATCTCCTATCGTCACCATGAGTGCTAGCTCGTCTTCTTCTATGACATATAGTACCTCTGCATCCCATTCCTCCTCCATTTCCATGTTGGAGGATGACACATTGCTTTTGTCTTATTTTTTCTTGGACTAATAATCTCTGGACATGTGGCCCTTCTTCCCGCAATTGTAGCAATTACATTCAAATCTATTTCCGTGAGAACTCTTGTTGTCATTCTTCTGAGCTCTCTCAGGTTGTGCAGTTCTTTGATGAATTCTTCTTTTGTCACCATTTTTGTATTTACGTTTGGTAGACGACTTATTATTGCTCCGAATTTCACTTGTGTAGAGTGCTTTTTCTTCACCCGTCAATATGATGTCTCCCATTTGTTTGGCCATGACTTCTTGGCCGGCTAACAAATTTTTAAATTCTACAAGTGATGGTTGAGTGAACCATCTTTGTACAGCAATAATGATGCTTCCATATTATGGTTACAATTTGTGAATAATGATTCTCTTCATTCGATCTTCTCCAATTGCAGACTTCCAGTCTAGTTCAGTAAACTCTTGTAAGATCGACTTGACTTTGTGGAAGTATTTTGCAATTGTCATGTCACGTTGTGAAATTGATAATAGTTCGTTCTCTAGAAGTTGTAGCCTCGTATCGTTCTTCTTTGAGAACAACATCAAGAACGTGTCCCATGCTTCTTTCGACACTCATAAACGATCCTCAAGTGAAAATGCAGCTCTCAAATGCTCCCTCATCTCGAGCGACAGTTAGCGAAGACCTGAAAAAGAAATCTAAAATGTGGTGAGTAAAAAGCACTTGGTAAGATATCAGCCTACTTGTAGGCTCTCATCGCATCCAATTATCCAATTCCTAGTAGGTTTCCACGGGCTTTTCTCTAGGCTCTCGGAAGTTCGGGCTTAACTCTATAGTTATCTGACCTTTTCGGAAGTCTTTTAATGGTGTTGTGGTGTAGTTGGTTATCACATTAATCTAACACACTGAAGGTCTCCAATTAAAGTTTGTGCGACGCCATGTTTGAATTTTTTTATTTCCATTTACAATCTTGATTCATTTTAGACCGGTACAAGAAAGCTTAATAGCTTGATGAGATTGAAAATCGTGTCCTCAAACAAACTTGAGCATGTAATTAATTGTTTGGATTTTTATTGAAGAAATACTTGTAGGAATTAACGAGGACTAGGGTGGAACGATTACTAGCATGCGTGCCCTCGAACACACTTGAGCATGTAATTAATTGCTTGGACTTTTATTGAAGAAATACTTGTAGGAATCAACGAGATCCGGAGTGGAATGATTACGAGCATGTTATATGCTTGATTTAGCCAAGAAATTTATGAACTAAACTTAGTATCAGAGGTCTAGGTTGATTGGTCCAACAAACTGTTTTCGCTAGACGAAGAGTTATTGGGTCTTTCGTTACGTGATTTTTGAGACTTCAAATCTCAAACCGTGACCAAAATGACAAAAAGAAAGGAAAATAAAATAAAAGTAAAATTAAATTAAACATTAAAATAATACAATTTAAAATCAAACAAAGCCACCGCTAAAACAAATTAAAAAGCAATGCACCCATGTGTTGTTAAGGTTTGTTACAAACGAAGAAAGGGTTCGTGATACTGTTTCAAACAAAATATAAAAGACCCAAAGTACACCGACCGGATCGACACTCATAAACGACCCTTAAGTGACAGTGCAGCTCTCAAATGCTCCACCACCTCGAGTGACAGTTAGCAAATATCTGAAAAAGAAATCTAAAATACGGTGAGTGAAAAAGCACTCGGTAAGTAGTCAGCCTACTTGTATTCTCTCATCGCATCCAATTATATAATTCCTAGTAGGTTTCCACGGGCTTTTCTCTAGGCTCTAGGAAGTTCGGGCTTAACTCTATAGTTATTTGACCTTCTGGGAAGGCTTCCAATGGTGTCGTTGTTTAAGTAAAGAATTGAGCTTAAATGGAAAGAAGGAAGAAAGTTCTCCATCAATGTCAAAATAATGGAGGTATGTCTTATTTGATCCCAAGGACTTGATTCTTGGTGATGAGATAAGATGTGAAAACTCGTTCTTCTATTAATTTATTTAATAATTTTGCTTTTGTTTCTCAAATTGAGCGGGCAGCGCTGGGAGATCTAACTCTTATCAAAACAGAAAGAAGAGAAGAAGAAAAAATGGGAGATATGAAATTCTATCTTTTCTTGATTAAGAATAGATTCAAACTAGCCAAAATAATTGTAAACATAAGAAAGCAAAACAAGGGGAAGAAAGATGGTGTCCCAAAAAAGTAAAAGAGAGGGAGTGAGAGAAACTAAAAAGAGTGTCAGCAACAAAGTAAGTTTAAGAGCTTGATAAGCCCGAGAGAATCGTGCCCTCGAACTCACTTGAACATGTAATCTTTTATTGAAGAAATATCTGTAGGAATCAACGAAGACTGAGGTGGAATGATTACGAGCATTTTATATACTTGATTTATCCAAAAAAAAAAAAAAAAAAAAAAAAAAAAAAAAAAAAAAAAAAAAAAAAAAAAAAAAAAAAAAAAAAAAAAAAAAAAAAAAAAAAAAAAAACGAGGACTGTGGTGGAATGATTACGATCAAGCTCCGAGAATCGTACCCTCGAACACACTTGAGTATGTAATCTTTTATTAAAAAAATACTGGTAGGAATCAACGAGGAGTGGGGTGGAATGATTACAGAGTATTTTATAGGCTTGATTTATAAAAATAAAAAATAAAAATAAAAAAAATAAAAAAATAAAAAAAAAACTTGTGAACTAAACTTAATTGTAAAAAGAGTTCAAAATTAAAAAAAAAAAAATGTTTTTTAATTACTAAAATTAGTTGGGACTATGGAGTAGAATTTATTAGTGTGACCTTTCAAAAAAATTGTGAAGAGAACGGTTTTTTTCATCACTTCTCTTCATGGCTCCTAACCAAATGAAAAAATTATACTTTACAAGAATTTGGTAGATCAATGTTAATCAATGTTAGAGGAGTATGATTTATCTAAATATATTTTAGGCCGAAGCTGATAACAAAATTTCAAATACTCTTTCAAAGTTTTTCGTGGCA